GGGGGGGGGGGGGGGGGGGGGGGGGGACAAATCATGGCACCGGGTGGGTCCAAAACGCACGAACAAAAGGCCTAATTTACTTATCCAATCCAAAAACTCTGAAAACAAGAGCCGGTTGGCTTTTAGCGGAGTACGTTGATTGCAAATCCGTCCCCTTCAAGTTGGAAGCGAGACTGGTTAGCTGAGAGATGAGGCAGCCGGCGGTAAACTCGGTGGAACCATGGCGGCTGGTTCGATGCCTCGGATCTCCTGCCCCAATCCTGTAGCACCATCCACGATCTCAACGGAGGAAGCAGTCGCGAAACAGGCTTATCCGACCGTATCGCCAGCACCGCGAGTCCCGGAAGTAGGAGGGGAGTCCCGCAGGAAGGGGGTCCCGCAAGAGGGGACGGGGGGAGCGGGGAAAACTGCTGCATGGGGGTTTGTTTGTCCCACTGCATTTGCTGATGCTGTTGACTGTTTTTGTTGTTGTTGCTGTTCTCGCTATCGTATCGTGCTGGCGACTTTCTTTCCTTGTTGGGCCATGTCGCAAACAAACCTGACTTAGTTGTGTTGTTCGTATGCATCACAACAACAACAAAAGATAAAGCTCACCGCTCGGTCCTCGATGTCCACCTTGTTCCCCAGGATCATCTTCTGCATACGATGCCCGGGCTCCGCATGCGTCTGGATATTCGCCATCCTGTACACATTCAACACCCGCGCGCGAGAAAGAAAAACACGGAAGAACCAGAAAATGAAACGCGAGAGGTTGATGCTATCCGTGTCGTATTGTGGTATACTACGTACCAGGGGCACGTAGAATGCGATTCTCTCCACCTGGTCTTCACTTCCGCGTGCCCCCCCCGCCCCCCGCCCCCGCGGTCCCAACCTCTCACGTAGGTTTATGAGCGTAATCGTGTTAGGCATTGTGAGTCCGTATTGTGGGTTTGTTGTAGTGCATCCATCCAAAAAAAAAATGTTGGGTCTATCGTTCAGGAGCTTTCGACCTCTGCTTCAATACCATTCGGTCAGAAAAACCAGCGAGAACAAAAAAAGGGACACGCCGCATGGTGGGTTTCAGCCAGAGTCGAGAAGGCGGTATTCTGGCAGAAGCAAGTCCCCACGTCACTCGAGACAAAAAAAACTGGACCAAACTATGTCGGAGCTATTGTTGAGAGTGTACATACATAGCTCGTACGACCAAATATGCAACTTTGAGCTACGAGTATACAACAGCCTTCGAGCATACACAGACAGAATGCTCCGTTTCCTACAGCACGCGCCCTATCGACAATTGATATTTTCAATAGACGAATGTGTAAAAACAACTGCCTACCGTTGGCAAGAGCTCTCGCAGTCGTTTTAATGCGTTGCCAGGGGCTACGCATTCAACCCCATGTACGTCGCACGCCACACAGCTACAGGAGTGGACCAAACAACACAAAGCACAAAGGCAGCAAACCCAGCGGTTGCATCTTTATGGCCGGTACCAGCACAACGACAACAAAACCAATCCAGCGGTTGGGCCTCTCTACGGTCGGTGCCTGGAACAGACACAACAGACCAGACACACGCGGCACTGCCGTCAGAACAGCCCAGCCCAACCCAACCCAACTCGCCAATGAGACAACCTAGAAGACCCTCTTCATTTCACATCAACTCCTCGCGTCAGCAAAAACACTCAACGTAGTAAAAAAAAAAAAAATGAAGACGCCCTCATTTCAACATCAACTCCTACAGCAAAACACCTCACCAGTAGTTGACGTTCTTGAAACTGTCATCATCGGTGACGTCGTAGGCGAGAGCGATCCCGTGAGCCCCGCGATAGTACGTCCTCGTGATGACATGAAACCTCTCCTGCCCCGCCGTGTCCCAGATCTGGCACCGCACTCTCTTCCCGTTGATGTCTAGAGTTTGCACCTGCCGGTCAGAAGGAAGGGCGCGGGGGGGGGGTGAGCGAGCGAGGGAGAATCAACACAAAGAACACTTGCTGTTGTTTATCGCCGCCTTGCGCGAGACTGACTCCGTTTCGCCTGAATCACACGAGAAAATTGTGCAAGAACTTCCATAACATTTTATTTTTTCGGCCGGCGGCTCCTGGTTCCTTGTCTAGGTATCGATTGATCTCCTCCGTTCCTTCGACACAGGAGGCCGGCCCTTCCAATTACTCGCGTCAAGCGGTCACAACCAACTCGTTTTTGCTGCGCCCTAAAGTTGCAAATCTTGCCCGTCTTTCTTCGTTGGCCGACGGCGGAATCGTAATCCTGGAGTTCCATCCCCAATGGGCCGCGCACTGCCGCCCGTAGGCCGGTTCCGTGCATTCCATCACCTCAAGCAGAAAACTTGGGAATCATAAAAGGCAACTTCGAATCATAAATGGTACCGTATTCCCCTCTCGTTTACTCGGTAAAGGCCCGTCGCTTTCCTTCTCGGCGGCTGATACCGTAGATCCATACGGTATGGAATACAGTATGGAATACGGTATGGAATTGGAATACCCACACCGTGGCACTACACGTACGGTACGTACAGCAGGTACTGTTGTTGCCGCGTCTGAATCGCGCCATCGCCGCCATATTACAACGTGTAGGGCGTACCGCTAACGCACCTTGTAGTCTACTCCGGCCGTGCTGATCAAGGTCGGCGCGAACTTGTCCTCAGAAAAGCGGGTCATAAGGCTCGTTTTCCCCACGCCGGAGTCTCCCAGGAGCAGGATGCGGATCGTGTGGTCGAAGTCGTCCCCCTGATATGTAAGAGCCAACGATGCGATATACGCATGACAGACACTTTTGTGAAACGAGCAACACAAGACAAGCGAACACGCAGCAGTACCGACAGACTTGAGAGCAGAGGCAACGGCAATCATCACACCAGCCGTCGCAGAACTGCGCGGCGTATGTGTGATGCGGTGTGGCTTTCGAGTGGAACGCTTCCGCTTCCGCGTCCTGACCTCCCTCCCACATAGGGCTAGGTGCTCGATAAATTTAATGCTGCAAGAGTTGAGCGCTCGGGGGAAAAACTACACGCGCAAGACTCCAGCGAAAAAGGGGATGGACATCTGGCATTTGCCCCACAAAACAAACCTACGCGCGGGAGAGCGATCAACTCTTAGCATCCTAGCGAGGAACACTGAAAACAAGTCGATATTTCACAATTTAAGTAAGCGGCCAACCTCCCCCACGATCTTCATCCAAGCGCAAGAGATAGATTGGATATTTCACATTCTGCTGTCCTGTCTTCTCTCCCCGAAGGCAACTACAGCACCAAGCAATTAAATATGTACCTTTTGCCGCAGGTTCTCCTTGAACCGGCGCTCCTCCTCGGCCAGCCTCTTCTCCTCCTCCAGGTCTTCCATCTCCTCGCGGGACCGGACGTCGGTGGTATGGCTCTAAGGGAGGAGAGAGTGATGAAGAAACGAGAACCAGCAGCAGCAGCAGCAGCAGCAGCAGCAGCAGCAGCAACAACAACATCAGCGGTAGCGGCAGCCGCAGGAGCGATAGCAGCAGCAGCAGCAGCAGCAGCAGCAGCACAGTGCGCCACGAACACATGAATGGCCACACATCGCAACCTAACCCCAACAGGCGCCAGGTACAAACCACGTTCCTACAATACGCGATCCTTACAAAAACCTTAATCAATGACAAACTGAACAGGCTCAAGACACCCACAAAGTTCAATCCAATCGATCCTTACAAAACACTTAATCGCCCTCGAAACAAACGGACTCGGTGAAACCCGAGGGGACTACACGTCACCTTGAGGTTGGTGACAATGTTGAGCGTCTTCTTCGAAAGCCCGCCCCTGCCGTTACCGGGACCCGATCGTCTTCGCCCCCCCCCGAACCTGCCGCCGGTACCGCCGGTACCGCCGGTGACAGTCCCGTCGAACTGCCTCTCTCGGTTGATCCCGCTCGTGCTCGTGCGCTTTCGCCTCGGCGTCGCCGTGCTCTTCCGTTCGCGAGCCACAAACCCAAGCAAGAAATAAAACCGATGATGCATCAAATCGATGTGGGGGTGGTGGGAGGGAAGAAGCAAAGTTGATGGATGAAAAAATTTCCTCGCGTCGGCAAGGAAGCCCTTGACGATCTGGCGATGGGAAGAAGGGAAGGGGCATCGGGTTTGAAAAGCGATACAAATGCTCTTCGTGTCAGCGTAAGCCCGTGATGATCAGTCATGGTCCAGGCAACTTGATTGTGGTGCACCCCACACCCAGTACAGTATTTCAGGCCTGCCTCTGCTTGCTTCCGACCTCGCTCGAAGACTTCTGTAATTGATGGTACACAAAAGAGAGAGCGGCTCCGGAGCTTACCCGCACCCCGTTCGCTGTCACCGCCGAAGCCGCCGCCGGCCCCAGCCCAAGCCCAAGCCCGCCTCCTACCCTCGCCGCTTCTCTCAATCCATCGCCCTCCGCAGCAGAGGCACCACCGTCTACCCGCCCCGCCCCCCCGCCACAACCACCACCGTAATCGACGTTCCCTGTCCAGGGTGGCGAAACCGCTGTGCGTGACGCAACCGCGCCAGCGCCCCCCGCCCCCGCCCCCCCGCCGCTTCCCCTGGCCTGAAAGGGCCTCCTTGCCCCCGCCGGAGGTCCCCAGAGCTCGTCGTCCGCCAGCACCGAGTGGACAACACCGCTGCTGCTGCTGCTGCTGCTGTTGCTGCCTCCGTTGCCGTCCAAGCAGGAGTTGGCGCTGGTGGGGGTGCCCGCCGGTGGCGGGGCTGGTGTGTCCGGGGCTGCGGTCGGTGCCGGTGCTGTTGAGCGTTTTTTTATGCGAAGAGTGAGAGGGGTGGGAAGCACAGCCATTATGGCACCTACAGATGTACTTGCAAACCCAGCGGTTGACTCTTTACGTACAATACACATGAGATATCATATGATGCAACACTCCATCAATGAAAGACGCACCCCAGACAAAGTTCAACCCATGTGAGATGGCACTGCTGCTGCAGAGAGAGAAAGATGGCGACAGCCATATGATATATAGAGAGAGGGGCGGGGAGGGAGCCAGCGGGAGAGAGAGAGAGGGAGAGACTGGTAAGTACAGCAGCTGTACAAATAGAGTAGTCTACACCTCAAAGAAACAAAGAAACATCTTCTGTCGTTGTTGCAAACAAAAGCGACCGCAACTAGGATGTTGAAACAAACGCGGTTTGATCATAATAATCACCAAGGCACAGCGGCAGTGATACGTAGGTAGCAACATGTCGTGCATCAGGAGGAACGCGAAAAGGCCCGCCTGTCTCCCAACACGCGCGCCAACGAACACCTGATGAAGGCGCGCGCGGCTGAGAGAGCGCAAGACCTACAGAACTGCTGTGTTTCGCTGCTTGGAAGAACAGAAGATAGATGCGTTCGCTACTGCTGCTGTACATATGCACTTCCTCACCAGACGAAGCCGGCTGGAAAAACACAGCTTGTCGCTGCTAGCCGCGGTACGCAAACCGTGTCCCACATACCACTTAGACTGGTCTAATAGCCTTGCATAGACAGATAGAGTCATCACCACAACAACACCGGAGGGAAGAATTGAAGTTGTTTGTCTGGGAGAGGAACAATCGGATGTTGCTGCTCCGCTTTCTCACCGAACACGACGCACTCTGCGCCACGAGGTTGCCCAGGGCTCTGGAACGAGTCGTCCCCCACGGCAGCCAGCGGCTCCACAAGGCAGAACTCATCCGCCTGGCCGCTCATAGCAAACTTTTTTCACCAGGACACCGGCCGGGTGTGTGCGAAAGAGGGTGCAGCATCAGTAGCTGCGCGTCGCAATAAAAGAGTATATGCGGGCAAAACGAAGCCTCCAACGGGAACTACTCCCCCCCCTGGAAACCCTGACAAGCAAGCGGCGGGCGGCGGAGAGATCCGCGCTCACAGCAGTGCTCTCACCGTACATAAACGCCGACAGAGAGCGGAGCAGGAGCGTCGGCATCCAATCTCCGACAAAGGTACGCTGGGTAACTCACGCACTAGGACTCGGCACGTCTTTTTGGATCTATTATGCAGCATAGCAGCTTGTATCTGGCTACGAGCGTACCACGAAGATACAGCAGCAGGTAGCCACCGACATTATTACCTATCTATTATCATGTTCATACTCTGGCATGACGAAGACACGTTAGGGATGTGCCACGTACTCAGCTTACATATGCGCCTAGTGCAAAAGCAATGCTTCATCTGGTCCAGAGACACCTAAGCATGACGAGTTTTATTGTTGTTGGATCCCGCGGGGTGGTGGCCAGCACACACCCACAGAGACCCACCCAGCAGGTGCGAAGCAAAAGTGCCGAACCCAGGCAGGAACCAGAAGCGAAAGATTGACTGACGAAGTAAGGGAAATCTGCGTTTTGTGAGAAGCGGCAGAAATAATCCGTTGGCCAATCAGAAAGCAGGAAGCGGACGAGCGTGTTGATTCCTGTTTTCAGTATATACTCGCTTCGCCGTGTTTACCGGGGGCGAGCGAGAGCACGTGTGTGTGCTTGTGGTGGCCAAGGGTTGTTTCTGCCGTGACAAGCTTGTTGTGAAGTGAAAGAGGCCCGACGAATAGTCTCGCCCTTCCCGCCTTATTACCCCCGTCTGCGTCACACTACGACTCACCTCTCAGCGGGCAAACAGAGCAAAGGCCGTGCGTTGTGTACACGCACAGCGTTAGGGGTGTGAGCCGGTATGTCTGCGAGGCTTTCTGGGGTTCAGCGGGAAGTCAATCAGCTCTACCGCCTTCTGCTGCGGGCGGCACGGGTGAAAGATGGCGGAGAATGGGCGGGCAGCACGACCGAGCTCGTCAGGGCAGAGTTCCGTGCACAGGTATGCGAGGTGACACAAGATACCACACGCCCTGAGGCTGTTTTCAAATCTCGATTTATCCACAACATAATGACTGGGCGCGCCTAAAACGGCGGCGTGGAAGCCGTCTCGTGGAGAGCTTTCCGATATCGTATCGTTTCGTTTGTGCATCCTCTTCGCCGTGGAGGGATCGAGCTTTGAAAATCGGCCCACGGGGGTGTGGTATCTTGTGTGACCTACATGTACGGTCGGTGTGACGCTGGTTTCCAAGACTTTTCTAGAGGCAGTAGAGTGTCAAAGCCAGAGGAAGAGGAAGTAGCATAGAAGTCCTAGGCAGATGCATTTTCCGACACGCATGCCACTCCTTTCTGCCAATGAGATGCGAGTTCCAATGAGCTGGCCGCGAAAAACATGTGCCCCGGCATCTAGTCCACAGATCGACCGTACAGCAGGAGTCTACAGCTGCTATCTTTGTACTTAGTATGTGGAAGCGCTTGAGTCTTCAACTGCGTGCACAACTCGCTTGTTGCTGTCCGTGCCGGAGAGGAGGTACATGTCGAGGATAAAAAATGCGTGGCGAAAAGCCCAGTACGCGGTTACCACTCGGCAGCTCTACAGCAGTAAGTAGAGATGTTACAAGCAGATTTGTATCGTTGATACCTCAACGGGTGGGTGCCTCGCCACAGCAGTCCGGTGAATCCTTGTGGTGTGATGACAGCAGTCACTCTCTTTTAGGCGACAAGGCAAAGACTGCTGTAGTCTTGTAACCGCCCCCCGCCGTGGATGTCACCTTGATCGTTCCGCATGTGCTGCACACGCAGGGCAACTAAGTTTGAGTTTGAATGTACGTATTCTTCAGTAAATAACGATACGCCGCCTGCCCGGTACTGCTGGGACACACATGTTGTGTAACGGCCAGCAGTGGCATCCGCGTCTGGCGCTCTGTTGAGGCCTTGCTATTATTGTTCCGGTATCTGCCGATTTGTGGGTTTTCAAGTCTGTCAGCCGTCCAGCCGCTCGTCGGGGTTCTCTACTGGTGCGTGCCCCCCCGGCGACGCTGCTGCCCCGTGTTGACGACGCGGTGTTTCCCACTCACGTGCGTTTTATACGGCGACGTTATTAACGACGACTGTGCTGCTGCCGCTGCCGCTGCCGCTGGTGCTGCTGGTGCTGCTGGTGCTGGATGGAGGCAGGCTCCTCAAGGCACACGATCTACTTGGACCCCTTACTTGCTACATACTTTGGACTCCTTGTGTCTACAATACGAGTACCGCTGACTTGGAAACTGCATAGTAACTGGAAACCATTCGCTCGTTTGCCGGATCGCTTTTGAAGGCGGAGTCCGTCGGGCGAACTGACTTCCGCACCATCGAGCACCTCCTGCGCGCCGGAAACAAGAAACTCAAGCTCTTGAAAATGCCCGGCGTCAAGGCGGCGGCGGGCATCACGGTGGCGCGCCGATGACACGCGGTAGCCCCCGCCCCCCGCGCCTCCGGCCGCGTCCGCCGACAACACCCCGCTGGCGGTGCCGATGGTAGACGCGCCCTCCATCAGCCGCAAGATAGGTTAGCGTGGTCAACGTGGGTGGGGGAAACTGGCCGGTTGCGGAGGTTGGGGCGTGGAAGGACGGGGACTTTGGTGCGGGTGAGGGAGCACGCCGGAGGGAGCCAGCTCTGCAGAAGGGCTTGTCGCAAGTGTGTTCGATCCCTCCCTTCAAAAGAGTGATAACCTTCACCGGTTGCAACGCGAGGTGAGGTCAATCTCAGGAGAAACACGAAGGGTTTTGTGCACTTCTATTTAGCTTGACGCGGATTATTTGTGGTTGTGTTTGCCGTCCCCGCCGCGGACGAAGAGATTGCGCGTACGCGCGGAACACGTGAGGAGCCTTTGGTGAACTGATTGATGGGGGGAATCGGCGCAGTTTAGCTCCTCATTCAATCTGCGTTGGAGTGACGATCACGAACGATGTTTAGGAAGTCTTGACAAAGTCGTGTCGGCGGGGTTACGTGCGGGGTTGTGCCGATCGCTAACGAGTTCGCCAAGAATTCAGCTGTGCGATCCGAAACGAGGAACACCTGGGCGCTACGAACGGCCTGAGGAGTGCAACACCGCTGCTGCTGCTGCTATTGGCTCGTTTCTGCGCGCATGTATGAACAGCAGGTGTCGTCCGTTTTGTGTCGACAAGTATATATAGCTTGGTGGGTCTCATTCGCCAATGCCTGATGCCCCTCACCTCCCATTACCGGTGCCATCCCGCTATCATGTGTACCGCACAGATTTTCTCGTTACGGTAGCATCGTCCTATGCGTGGGGTTGATGGAAATGTGGCTGCGACACACCACCACCGCCTCTGGTACCTTGCGGGAGGAAAGGGATCATGATAAACCTGCTACGAAGACCGCCTGATGTAGAAACCTCTGTTTGCTACTATGTACTCATCTTGCAATGTTTGGTGTGTTCTAGATGCTGTGCTTGAACGGGAGAAGATGTCGGGTGTACAGGGTAGACTTGGGACTATCCAGCCAGCGGTTTGGGATGATAGTGTGCTGCCACTCTAAGAGAGAGAGAGAGAGAGAGAGAGAGAGAAAGAGAGAGAGAGAGAGAGAGAGAGAGAGAGAGAGAGAGAGGGCTTGCCAGTTTTTAACTGGTAGTTGAGGGTCCCCTCACGTAAAAAAGTTACATTGCATTTTCGTGTCCGCTCCATTCCCCCACCGATCGATTCGGACGCGCGCGCGATCATGTCCACAGTCTGTTGTCGTGTTTCTTCTCGATCGACGTCGTTTGGGATTCATGTATAGCGTTGGCGGCTTTTTTCAGGTGTGGCCTGTGCGCAGATGCCAACGATCTGTCCAAAGAAGTATTCGTGGAGCGCAATGTTCTTGAATGGCATTATTTCCTGTTGTGTGCTCTCACGTGCCCTACTCGATAGTGCCGAGTCACGACGGGTGGTACGTCGAAAATTCTCCTGTACACACGGCAGAGATTGTGGCGATCCCAACGGAAAACCTGTCCGTTCTCCACATCATGCTGCGGGCCCCCGGTATTACAGCACCTATTTAGCTACTGGTCGTCGCCCCCGTGGCCGAATGATGGTTAAACCTCGTAACCTTGCCGGCAGCATGAATTCGGTTCTCATTCTGGAGTGAAAAGAGTCAAGTTGTTGATGCGTTCAAATTAAAAGCCGTTCCGGTCTCCGCTCAGTACCCTCTAATGTCGGTACGACGTACTGCTCCAACTGACGCGGACGCCTTCGTGGTCAAAAGCCAACTGGCCCCAATGGGGGTACACACCTTTCTAGAACGAACAATTAGAAAAGGCCGCAGTGCGTTCTTCTGCTGCTCGGCGAGCGCCCAAGCGATGCGCTTCACGTGCCCGCCCTCGTCTAGTGCGAACCTCATCCAACAAACAACCTTCCAGCTGGAGGCGCATCCTCCAAACGCGATCGCAGCGTGGTACCAAAAACAAAAAGTAGCCAAGCTGTGAATTTGGCTCCTCTCTGAGGAATGAACAGAGTGAAAAGAGAGCGCAACTTGCCGTGGAAAGCACTTCATTTGCGAGAGGACACAAGCCCGACTTCACGGTCGACGAGGGAAAGGGACTGCTGAACCCTTCTCGGAATTAAACGCTGACAACGCAACCACCGCAGGAGGCAAGGTGGGGCGCAAAAACCAAAAATACCAGAAATAAAAACATCCTGTCTTTGCGACCTACCTGCCTTCCTCCTGTGTCCCCGCCGGCTCATGCAAACACAAATCGACCAGATGGGACGAACATACAAACACACACAGACCAGACCATGGCCTACAAGCATCATAACCGCAATGAGACTGGCTTGTTTTCATCGGTCAGCCGGTTAGCACTTTCGACTCTAACGTTAAAGACGCACGCACACACGCGTTTTGTGCATGAAGAGAAACGCCTGTCTGTAACGCTTCATGCTAGGAAACGCACCGACAGGAACGCAAGATGCAGGCAGTACATGAACGGTTTGGTGGACGCGTGCTCTTCTGGAGTCACACCGCTGATGCCGCCGGCGTCTACAGAACGCAGCTCACCCAGAACCAACGCTTCCCACCTTGCATCGGAGCCCACTCCGTATGTCCAAAGAGTGCCGCAGAAGAAGGTGCTTCTTCGATGGCAAATGGTTCGGGACTGACGAGTCTACAGCCGTCCACAGCACAGAAAAACAGTCGCGAGGAAAATCGTGACCCTGGTTCTACCCACACTCACAACAGAAACGGGCCCTGGTTAAAGTAATAATCCAAGAACTCGAAACCCCAACGTACACCCGATCCAACAAAGCGGGCTGCCCCTTCACGGGGAACAAGCACCGTGACACACAGGGAACAAATAAGACTGACATTCTTTACGCGGGTTTTGCGCGTTGTGGCCGTTCTCAGGTCAGAGTCCGTTCTGCCCGAAAAAAAACGTAGCTGTCGCTCGTCGTACGCAGTTCGAGGGGTCACTCCGAACCGGACTACGGAGGAGCAACATTTAGTGGCGGCGCCCCCGTTCAGGCCTGTAGTCGCTCCGAAACCGAACAGACTCAGCCATTTACCCGCGTAGCTTGATGACTCTCTGCACCTTGTCGACCACCCTCCTGCATAGGATGCACGGCTTCCCCTCGTAGGCGGAACCGCACCGCGAGCACGTGCACTGGTGGGCGCACGGCAGGAACAGGATCTGAAGCCAAAAGGGGTACCAGAAGGTGGTGGTGGTGAGGAATGGATGGATGGGAGTGGTAGGTTTTCGGCTGCTTTCTGGTACAGGGTACCGGAGCGACAAGCCAGTTTGCCCCCCCCCCCAAAAAAAAAAAAAACACTGGTTCATACTTGCCTGGGCCGGCGAAAACCCGGCATACCGCTCCATGTAGGGATGCGAGGTCAATGGCCTAACGACTCCGGCATGTGCTTGTACAAGTACACCCCCCACACACACAAGGCACGAGAGATACGCACCTACATCACCTTGGTTGCAGCAGCAACAGCAACCATACCCCAACGAGACAGCATTAAGCTGACGGCAAAGATAGACAGCATTAGGCTGACGGCAAAGATAGTCATTCCTCCACTCGAGGTTCTTACGTCCACGAGCGCGTCCAAGCAGATCTTGCACGTGTCCGGGTGGTCCGGGTCCAAGCCGTCCGAGTCTTCGTCATCGTCATCCATGCCGCCGCCACCACTACCCTTCAGGGCATTCAAGATGCGAATCTGCTCGCCCTGTTGACACGGAGCAGAAGGCGGTGCGTGAACGAGATATAGCGAGAGAGCAGCGACTGCCGTAGAGGGATTACGGCCGCGTGGGTGCAGGCCTTTGCGGCACGAGTACAGGGAAGAGGGGGCAGCAAACGCACACGAAAAGGGCTTCGGAGTTCACATCGGTTCTGCACCTCTTCTCTCCTCTCCTCTCTCTCGGCGAGTTACGCACACGGGTTGCACAACACCACACGTATGCACGTGCCGTGCCAGTGTCGTCTCCTCCTGGCATTGAAAACGCATCCCAATCGTCTTCTCTCCATGCTCTGTGGGGCTGCGGCAAAAAAAAGGAAACAGCAGAGCCCGGCCGCAATAAACCGCATCCGGCGGCAGTCAAGTCGCAGCTCACCTCGGTGACCCCCATCCTCTCAAAGTCCCTCCTGTCCATCATCAGCAGCACCTCCCCATCCAGCTGGTCTTCCCGGAACCTCTCGAGGTGGTGCTCACACCCGGCCACCCTCAACAGCTGCCGCAGCTCTCCCCCCCACGCGCCATCCTCCACAACCACGGGTGCGGCGCCCCCGCCCCCGCCCCCGCCAGGACCCCCAGTAACCGGTTGCGCGGGGCGGGCTCGGGCACCCTCGGCCTTGCGGGCGGCGACGGCGGAAGAAGGTGGCGGGAGAGCACTGGGCTGGCAGCCCTTGGAGCGGTAAAACTCCTCTACTAACCTCTTGGCAGTCTGGAGCCCAGGCGCAAAGCATGAGGCGGTAAGGCGGGGGGGGGGGGCAGAAACAAGCACGGTTTGATGTACGGCGGCGTGACGTTTCGTGTTGGAAAAGGCCGGGTTAACAAGACCTTCGTGTAAATATGTATCCCTCCAGTTCCGTTAGCCTTCAGTGGGGTGCTCAGCGAGGAGTTGCAAGAAGAAAGAGGGGCCACGGCTGGCGTGACCGCATATGACTGTTACCGGCACTTCGCGCGAGCGGGAGCGTGACAGGATACATTCTACCCTAACGGTGACCCTTCGTGTCATTGGAGGGGGTGGAGAAGGGAGAGGGCATTGACGACGATGACGCCGCCACTGGCACCAACTCCATCGCAACGACCAACCACCATAGACTGGTATCGCTAAACACCGCACCCGAACACAGTTGCGGCAACAATCAAGTGTGCTGCCAAGCACTCGGCTCTTGCTGACCTTGACCGCGTTTGGAGTCCCCGTGATGATCACGTCGTTTCCGCTCCTGTCAGGATATGGTTTCACTACGATCTTCGCCCTGCTATCCTTCATGAGCTTGTTGACCGTCTGGCCCTGCTTTCCGATGAGTTGCGGCGCGATGTTCTGCGCGCGAAGAAGAGGGGAGAGGGGAGGAGCCAAAACCGCGTGCCCCACACGCGCGAAAACACCACCAGCAGGGTCAAAACACCCACGGAGATCGCTCGAAACAACTACAATTGCAACAGAAGCGACACACCGGGTGCTGCTATCACCACAACCAAGACAACGATAACAGCAGCAGCAACAACAACAACAACAACAACAACAACAACAACCGCTTGGATAAAAAGAGAATAAAAACGGCAAGATCTAGAAACAAAAGGTGAGTTCATACCGATCACCCCCACAAACCAAAATCCCCCTCGAGACCCCCCCGCCTACCCCCTCGCGCCTCCTCACGTTTGGACAGAACATGTCGTGCTGAGTAGGCCTCTGAGCCGCTGCTGCCTGCGCCGCCGCGGCCCCCGCCCCCGCACCCCTTACCGGTGCGGGCTGGCTAGCTTGCTGGAGCTTCTGGTCCTGTTGTCACGATTTGAGTGTTTCGCGGACATGCACCATGCCGGCGAAAACGGGGCAGAAAACAAAAGAAGGCATATGCGTGAGTCATATCTATCGACCTCGATATGTACGCGCACAACAATTACCATATACTTTCAAAGTACTACTTGTGGTTTTTATGTGTGGTACATGTTCACTTCCGGAATACCTTCATGTCAGTCCCCCATGCCGTGCCCCCAGCCCCCTCGTTCCGCGAACCGGTAGTGGCGCGAGCAAGCAGAAGCGGTCAAGCCTTGTTGCTGTTCTACCCTACATCGAGATGGACAGGGTACATCGCGATGGACAGGGTACAACAAATACACCTGCACCACGTTCGTTCCATTCACCCCCCGCCAGGGGTAACCTCCTTGAAAAACTAATCTGGCTTGACCACGACGAACCGTGTGGCGTGTGGCCGTCGGCCCGCGCGCACTCTCCTCGTGTCAACCTCACTCTATCCGAGCTGGGACTTCGGCGCAAGCCCCCCGCCCCCGTGCATTTTTTTCACACACACTCACCTCCCCCGCCTTCTTGTTCAGATATCGTTGGCACTTCTTCTTGATCTTCTTCATGCTGGCCCCGGGCGTTTGGTCCGCCTCGTCGTAGATCGACTGGACCGCCAGCGTGTTCTGTTTCAAGACCCGACGTACACGTTGTTGTTGTTGTTGTTGATGTTGATGTTGTTACTTTTGTTGTTGATATGGTCGTTGATAATGCTGCCACAAACGATGATCATCGTTTGCGCATGGTAAGGGTGTCGATTTGTTCTGGGAGACACGACGACGGGGGAAGTCCGGGTGGCTCCTCAAGTTAAGCCATGTTTTGTGTTCCCTTCCAATACAATACCACGATCGACTGACCTGCGAAAAACAGTCAGCCTTGGCGCAAAAAAACAAAACCTTCGGATGCCCGCGGTCTCCCACCACTTCAGTGGCTTAACGCCCAACACGATGGCGCGTGTTAGCTGGGGATTTTTGACTGACTACCCTATAAACACTCTGTGCCAGCGTACACCCGTCTAAGCACAGAGCAGGCAACAGTACCGCCGTGTGTGGCGGACGGTGTCATGGCGCAACCTTCACGATTCGATGAAATCTGGGCAATCAACACCAACATCGCTCGGTGTGGTCGCTACAATGCACTCCTCCCGGGGGCTCCCACAATTCTCTCCCGAAGAACTGTGATGATCTCGAACCACCAACCGTACCATCCCCGGCACGACACGCCCGAAGCACCACCGTCATCCCTCGCCCACCACAGCCCAATCCTACGCCGATAAAAATAACCCCCGACGGCGACAGGAACCCCCTGGCCAAACAAAACCACACACACACAAACGCCAGGGCACGACTATTAGCGCGAGAAACGAGAGCCACCGACGGCCCAGCCCACGGCCTCACTCACTCCGCTGTCGATAGCCTTCTTGAGCCGGACCTCCAGCGACATGTCCGCCAAGAGCGCTCCTCCTCCCCCCACCCCGCCGCCCCTCATCGCCGGACCCGTCGCCGCCGCCGCCGCTGCCGTCGCCGCCGCTGCCGCCGCCGCCTCCTTCTCCTCCCGCTGCGCCTTCTCCGCGGCCCTTGCTTCGTTCGCCGCCTTCGCGTCTGCGACGGCCTTGGCCCGCTCCTGCCTCTTCGCCCGGTTTGCCTGTTGTAAGTCGGCGCTTTCCTTGGCGGTCTTCTTGGCGGCCTCTTTGGCATCCTTCTCCGCCTTAGCCTGTGCAGCCACCGCCGCCATGACTCTGAGGGGGACAAAAGAGATCATCCAGCACGGTGAAAGAGGTGGCGGGTTGTGTAAATTTCACGTAAAATGAGGAAAACAAAAAAAGAGCAAAACACAAACACGGTGGGGGTGTCCTTTATGAGTGAATATTGTGGGTTGGGATGGGTCAATCCGTGAATACAGCAGATGGTCGGAACAAAGTGGGTGTGTTGTGTGAAATATTGGGGGACAGGTCTTCGGGAAATTTCCGATGACTTTTGCGAGTGAAGGTTGTGGGTGGGGTTGTATAAACCCGTTTCATAAAGAATGCGGATTGTTGGAAGGGTGTGTATACTGTGTTGTGTGAAATATTGCGGGATAGGTCGTCCGAAAAAATCCGATTGCTTTACGAGTGAAGATTGTGGGTTGGGTTGTGCCAATCCGTTCAATGAAGAATGCAGATAGTTCCGCAACAGCGGGTGTGCTGCGTGAAATATTGGGGGATAGGTCTTCGGGAAAAAGTCGATGAAGCGGCCGAGAGTCAGAGGAGAGAAGACGAAGAAAAAGGGGGGTGGGTTCTGTCTTCAATGCCTTACGTTGGCGTCGGAGGATATATGCTTCACAAGGTTAAGATTCATGGACAACACGTGGAAAAAACACTTTCGATCGAAGCGCACACCAAATATCAGGTTAGCGCGATCCCTAGATCAACATCTACAGCCGCCGCTGTTTCGGCACCACCGCTCTTCCCTGTACACGATTGGCCAAACGCAGGAAACCCACAGGAACGACTACAGATCATCTCTCTCTCTCTGTCTGTCTGTCTGTCTGTCTGTCTGTCTCTCTCTCTGTGTCTGTCTGTCTGTCTGTCTCTCTCTCTGTCTGTCTGTCTGTCTGTCTGTCTGTCTCTCTCTCTCTCTCTCTCTCTCTCTCTCTCTCTCTTCTTCTACATTTAACGCTACATTGGGCCGAATGAAAAGTTTGAAACCGTCAGCCAGCGTGGCATTCGGCGCGAACGAACACACCCACTGGCTGACCTTCTGCCAACCGGTAAGCGCGTACTAATATTCAAGACACGCACACACATATGGCCTTGAGAAACATCTTCTGTTTTCGGACGCACTGAGGCTGGGACGGACACAATTTCATTGGTCAGCCAGTTGGCGCCGTTGATGCCAATACACAAACACACACATTAGAACACGCGTGGCTTGCGTTTATTATCCCGCAACTAGATTGGCGTCTTTTCATTGGTTTTGGACGGTTAGCACGGTCGATGTCATTAACGAAGAACCACACCATTTTTTGCTTGATGAGCCGACTATTTAGCGCGGTCGACGCAAGAAACAAAAACAACACTAACACGGCACGACTGCACCCACACCTGGCTTCTGTGGCGGCCTTAGCCTCCGCGATCCGAGCAGTCTCTCTGGCGGCGGCCTCTGCCTTGCTCCGAGCGGCGCCGGCGGCGGTGGCCTCCCTCCTGCGTGCGGCGGCCTCTTTCCTGGCGACGGCCTCCTGCGTCTCCCTGTCCTCCCTCTCAGCCGCCTCCTCCGCTCGCCTGAGATTGTTTTGTTGGTTTGTACGTAGTCGTAGTTACTAAGATTGTTGGTTTGCAGATGCTGAAGTTATTTCGTTGGTTTGTAGTGGATGCGATTTTCGGTCGTTTAGGCATGATCCGTCCGTTTCGACACCTACGTTACCCAGTACCTCTACAAGAAGTATCTGCACACCGATCCCAAAATGCATAACCTTGAGTAGTCACAGGCTTTGCCAGATATGAAACCGAGTTCAAGCCCAACGGTCCAAAGGAGGAGAGGTTGGTTCTGGGGTGGCGTGATTGATTCCCATCAAGTGGCGTATGTATCAAGCCGCTCCCGAAAAGGTACCGAAATACAACCACCGGGTCTAGTTTTCACTCCCTCGTGTGGCTCGGAGTGGCGACGAAAACAACACCTGGGAAGCCGTGCGTCAGGGAGGCAGGCAGAGAGGCAGGCTTTGGTCAACAGCTCAGACTCTGACGTCCTGCCTCCTGGCGCAAATAAAAACCGGCATGACCTCTACCTAAGTCCTTCCTCTTGCCTACTCCATTCTTTCATCCCAATGTAGCAGTGAAACGAATGAGTTTCTCTGATCGCAAGCTCATATAAAATCAAGGTACAATACGCACACAACGATAGCGACCCAGAGTTATCGAGATACAAATGTGCATGGAAGGATTTTGTTGGGCGGCACAGCCATGGGGTCCTAGAATCTAGGATGACAAATCGCCCGGGCGCGTGACAACTCACCAAAGTGGAACGACACGGGGAATTACACCGCAAAAAAATATCGGGGGGGAGGGTAAGGTGAATCCCCCACCCGAAGCGAAAAAGAGAGAGAGAAAGAAAAACGCTACCGAGTTGTGGTGTCGTGTACCTCGCCGCTTTCTTAGCCTTGGCCGCCTGCTGGCGCTCCTCGGCCGCCTGCAGGTCAGCCATCTGAGCCTCCAGGGTCGCCACGCCGACAGCTCCGGCGGCGGCAGCGCCGACTTCCTTCTTCCCCGCGCTAGCCCCCGTCTTGAGGAGCTGCTGCTGCTGCGGCGGTTGTTCCGTCGCCTTGGCGGCAGTGGGCTTCTTTGCCACCGCCGCCGCCGCCGCTGTCTCCTGACCCACCGTCTTGAGACCGGCGGCCTCGACCGCGGGGACCTTCTTCGTCTCTACCGCCGCCGGCCAGGGTACCTGTTGTTCCCGGCCCGTTGCTGCCCGAGGGATGTCCGATGACCGCACGGCTGCTCTGGCAACACTAACAGCACCACCAGCAGCAGCACCACCACCATCAGCACCACGAGCGGCGGCACCGCCACTGGCAGCAGCCGCGCCGGCCATTTCGCGTCGATCCTCGCCTACCGCCGCCGCCGCCGCTGCCGCCGCTGCCGCCCCTGCCTGTGGGACCTGCACGGCCTGACCCAGGAACACAACGCACAGGGCAGCATGAGGAACACAGAAAGTGAGAGAGCGCACCATGCCCTGGAGAGGGAGCCCGCGAACTAGAAAAGCGGAAATCACTCGTGTTTTTGACTGCCCCGCCGTAAGAATGACGTCTTTTCATTGGTCAGTCCGGCTAGTCTTTTCATTGGTCAGTCCGGCTAGCGCAGTCGATGCTCATTCGAAAACACACAGGCACAAATGCACACGCGCGTTCTGTTTTTAACCGCACTGAGAGACTGACGTATTTTCATTGGTCACCCCGCTAACGCGGTCGATGCTAACAACAAAAAAACACAAAAACACGCACACACGCACACCTCACGCGTTGCCACCGAAGACCCAGGCCACGCCGCGAGGGGCCCGCGGACGTCGTTTGTCGCACCCCGGGGGCTGTCTTGCACGGGCGCGCTGAACTTCGGCAGGCCGCCACCGCTCTTGCCCTCCTCGCGACGCGTTCGAATCTCCGACCGCGTTCTCAGGGCGCGGCCCATCCAAGAAGTGAACCGATCGTGGTTGAACCCGCCGGCTTTCCAGCTCGCCGCCATCGAGTCTATGTCCTTCGCAAGCTGTGAAACTGCTCAACAACAATCGCGTTCAATATGCACACGGCGCCCACCCCGAAAAACTGAAAATAAGAAAACACCTTGTATGCATAAAACAAAAAAAAGTCCGAAGAAGGAGCTCTTGTTATGGGTAAACAACCCTCGCTATTATAGTCATTTCCTCTTGTGAGAAAATAACCAAATAGACGACATACAGCGGTGTGGTGCGGGGTCGTATGCACATGAACATTGTAAATATTCGGACTCTCACGTTCTTGATTGCGTGGTGGCGTGTTCTGTACGAAAACAGGTGCAACAACCCCCCAAAAAACACATCGCAAGCGGAGGTATATCATATCATACGGTAGCGCATACACACGTAGGAGCCAAGTCCCGTCTGCCGCACCGGTCGTGCTGGCGCTCGACGATGATTCAGCTCCTCCTTCCGCTCCACCACCCGCCGCGGCCGGGGCTCCTCTAGGCTGCGCCTGCGCCTGCTGGACCTCTCGCAGCCTCCTTTGCTGTTGCTCGAAAGGGTTTTCCCATGTCTTTCGACATTGCGGGGGCGAGGGATCGGCACTTTAGGAGGCAGGGCATCGACGTAGTAAATCTCAAAAGGTGGGTCAAGAGAAACCACGGGGTACAACAGCATCCAACGTTATGCTCTATAGTACAACACCACCATAGACTTGGAAAAAAAAAGAAGCTCCTTCCTTTGCCGCTTTCCTCCTGTGTGGCCCCGGCTGGTGCTTCCAGAAAATGTATCGAAAGGCGTTCAAGCTGGCGTTCAGAATAAAGGGGAAAATATTTTGCAACGACACCAGGCATGTCGACGTGCTCCGGTGACGCCAGCAAGAGGCACCTGTTCCAACGCACACCCAACCGCGAGCTAACGCCCCCCTCCCCCCCAAAACAATCGGCCTTCAGCCACAGCGAGCAAGAGTGCGCTCGATACAAAGGTCGTCGCCGCTACCCCCAACAAAGGTACACGGCTACAATACGCTGCGCTAGCTGAGTCAGCGAGCAAGAGCATGTTCGTCACAAACGCCACCGCCGCCCCTCAACAACAACAACAACAACAACAACAACAACGCACACGGCTGAGCTACCTGCCCAACTCACCGTCTCGTTGTTCTGAGCGTTGTGCCAGTACGGACGGTTGTCGTGGTCAGGCGAGGTGTACATCGTCCACGCCCCGGCAGCGGACGCGGCGTGCTCGTTCGCGACCACCTGTTCCATCGCCTCCCGGCACTGCTTCAGGGTTTGCCGCACGTCTTCCGAGCCGCCGTGGTACAAATCCACCACGTCTTCGGGGGGATTGTTGGATCCATCGATCGATAGGGGGGTGGGTGGGTGGGTGGGCAATTCCGTTAACAAAAAAAAAACAGAGCGCGTTGGGGCTTTGGTGATCTGATCGACCCCCCAGCCGGTCACTACTACACCATGTTCTGAACCACCCTTGGAGCTGAGTTGCCGAGCTCACGCTTACCCTCCCCCCATCTCTCCTTCCCCGTTCATTCCCCCGCGCCCGTGACCGTACCACCTACCCCGCCGCCGCCCCCACACAAACGACAGGCACCGCGAAGGGGTCGGTCCTCTTTCCAAACCTGGTGCACCAAAATACAGGAACGAACACACCTCTCTGGCAAATTCGACGGTTTCACATCGACGGTTCCAACAACGAGTGTAAAGAGTCTGCATCGGATTTGCCTTCACAACCTTTCTTTCTCTCTAAAAAACACGAAAGGCACACCTGACTCTACCCATCCATAGAAAAGTGCCCTAACCGTCTCCACGCTCGTCACACCCCTCAGCGTCGAGCGTCGCCCCCGGGCAAGACCCCCCCCCTTCTCCTCCTCCTCCTCCTCCTCCTCCCACATGGCCACCACTTCCCGCACGTGCTCGACGGGAAGCCGCCGACCCCCCTGCCCGCCGCCACCCAGCGCCTTCCGCGCTTGTTCGAGCATGCGCAAGACGCTCGCGCCCAGAAGCGAAGATTCGTCGGCCGACTCCCCGACCGCTGCGCCCCACACGCCTTCGCCGTGACCAGCAGCCCCGGCAGGCACCTTCTCCTCTAACGCCCCTCTACTACTAATAGCGCTCTCCGCAACTCCAGCCGCCGCAGGTTTGGTGGGCTGGGGGATTGCAGCAGGAGGAGGCTTGGTCTGCAAGGCCTCGGCGGCGTGCGGCACCGGCGTCGACGTGTTAGTGCGGGCCATGTCCGCCCCCGCAGCAGCAGCACCCATGCCGGCGGCAGCAGGGCCGACATCAGCGGCACCACCAGCAACAACACTGCCACCACCACCGACACCACCAGCAGCAGCTGCACCACCAGCAGTTGCACCAGCAGCGGCAGCGGCAGCACCGACACCGGCAGCAAAAACAGCACTGCCGGCCCCGACGCCAGAGGCAACATAAGCGACACCAGCAGCGGCACCAGCAGCGCCGATACCCGCCCCAAGAACGCCGGTACCAGCACCACCAGCGGCGGCAGCGCAACTACCACCAGCGGACGCGCCACGGCCGGCGGCGACGGACATCCAGCGGTGGGTGACCTCCGCGCGCAAGGCGATCGAGCGGGGAGCATGATGCGCCTCCGAAGGGCCCGCCGATGCCCCGGCGACAGCGGCGACGGACTCCTCCCTCCTCCTGTTGTTCCTTCCCAAGCAGAACTTGGACCACTTCTCGATGAAACCCGCCGTCGACGCCATGTGCTGTTCGTTTTCGGGTAGGGGAGGGGGGGACAAGGACGGCTTGGGGATGCCGTCAGCTGGAAAAGAGCACAACATCCCGCGCACGCTGCTGCTGTGCTGGAGGATGGGTCGCGCCGCAAATATGCATACCAGTATACAGGCGTTGCTGTACATAGACGGAAAACAATAAAAAAACTGTCGTGCGCGACAGTAACCTTCCCCTGCCAGGCACATGAGTTATTCTGCAATCGTTCGACAGCGCGCAGAACCGACTAGCCCACACCTCGCAAGAGCTGGCCCTCAATCGCACGGGGTATTCGAATGGTACCACTTTTACTGCAAGTAGTGGTGACATCACATACAGCGGTGGCAGTAGAATCGGAGAAGTGGTAGCGTGAATGCTAAGTAGGGTGAGTAGAGTGTTGCACACTTTGCCAGACACCTCCGACAGAATTCAGGAAGTGCTATGCATACGATATGGCAATTTCATGAATAAATAATAAATATCGATCGTGGCAAGAGACGGACCCATCACTTTTTTCTTACAAGAGGAACGCCCACAGGCGCGACAAAAAACGCAAAAAAAATGAGCTATTAGGTGTCTTATTGATAACCCGGGATAGCCGCTAGCGTCGCGCATATGGTGTGGTTCCGCAAAACTGCTGGCTGGCGCCAACCCCTTCAACCGGCATTCTAGCGCGCGACCGGCATTCTTCAGAATTATTGTTGTTGCTGTTGTTGTTGTTGTTGTTGTCTTCACATTAAAAACCGTTCCGATCTCTCTCTACCCAGTACCTTCGTATGTCCGTACTGATCCAACACTCGACGCGGTCGATTCCCGTGGTCACAGGTATGTAACAACATGATTATTTCTACCTGTGTCACGCGGTTTCACCGGCATTATGCAGGGCAACCGACATGATTTCAACCGGCATGATAGCGGGAACCACGACTGCATGCACATACCTCTCGCACGCGATCGGCGTTGACGGGGTGCCCGCACATGTCGCAAGGCCTCGATCTCATCACACACAACAAACACCTGTCCGCGTTGCACCCCTACAGCAGCACAGTGCAAAGCGGGAACAACGCACAAAGCAACAGGGGGCGTACGTGGGGACCGTGGAACAGAAAATAATACCTGAGGGGGGTTGGGTCATCGTGTGCGCCAAAAGCAACACAGTCGGAGGAAAAAAGGATCAACACTTGGAAAACAGAAAAAAAAAAAATGTGCGTGTACAAACACCGCCTAAAGTCTGCCTAGAACTCGAGACCTCATGGGCTGTTCAGAAAGGGAGACGTGCACTCTTCAAAACGATGCACCGTGCTCCAGAACACCACTTTTTTTTTTCGGAACTGCTATATAGTGACCGTACGGTTCGGTTCATCGCGCGATCAACCGTCCTTCCACCGGCGTGGTGGGGTTTTCATATAACGCCGCTCAGAGTATGCGTGTAACGTCGTCACTACAATAGAGTATTAATAGTACATGTGCTCCCTCCGGAGTCGGTTCATGAAAGACCACCGTCATCAAGGGGTGATGCGATAAGAACAGGCAGGAGGGCTAGCCCACAGCTGGCTGCCATCTGCCGGCTGCGACGTTTCCCCCAGGCTCGAACAGCTCGCACAGCCGACATGTATTTTTTTCTCGAATAGCCCAGCGAACCTTAACGAACTAACAAAAGAAAAAAAAAAGTCAAACTTACAACACGGTCTTATAGGACACGATGTGCGCCCCCCCCCAAACCACACCGTACAGCAGTACCTCGCAAAAGTTCTGGACTCGCATGAACCCGAGACACTCCGGGCAAGACACGGTCCGGCAGACCTCGCATTCCTGTAATAGTCGGATTGAGAGACAACGCGCACACAAACACACACAGGCGGCCGCAGCGGGCGGAAGGAGGAGCAGGAGCAGGAGCAGTGGCAAGTTACTCAACAGAACGGGGGTACAGCCGTACACGATGGGGGGGGGGGGGGGGGGGCGAGAGGGGGAAAGGAAGGGGGATGGTCAAATGGAATCCAGGAGGGGGTCTCGAAGACCATAAGGGGCGGATAAATTGTCATGCATTCAGCTGTGATCTTCGGACGATATCAGACCCCAGCGTTCCTGCGAGAGCCGTTCATTGACGAGGGGGTGCTAAAACTGCAATCAATGCTACTGCTGCATTATTTGTCCAGACAACCAGATAACGGCCACACGATGTCGGGAATGCTTTCATCTGACACGTGTGCGATGATGGCGCTCCTTGCTTGTGACATACGGCCGGATCCTTCCTGTTTTTCGTCGTTGATGCCCTCCGTGTTTAATTCTCCAGATAACATCTCCACAGATCACGGCTTGCCATAGAGGCAGAAGAGATGCGATGATAAGTTGGAGGAAACATGCTCATTCCTCCCAGTACAGAAATGGGACGGAGCGCACGGTCTTGTGTCCACTTGCCGTGCAAAGCACCAAACTGGTAGTAAAATACTCCACGACTGCTCGTTCAAACTGCTGCTGTTGCTGCTGCTGCTGCTGCTGCTGCCCATTCTTTGCGATCTATATCACAACAGCACATCACCTTGCGGCAGTAGTCGCACACCCGGGCGTCGCACACCTCGCAGCCACACCTACCACTCTCGCACAGCCGGCAGACCGCCTGACAGCAGCATGGCCGTCCGTCATCGTCCACGTTCGTGTTGAATAAAAAATATAAAAAGAAGGGAATAGGTAAAAGAAATGGATGAGAAGATGAGGTCAGATCCCATCCCAACACAAAAAAACACAACTTTATTGGCGTGTCAAATCAGGTTTTTCGTCGCCGTCGTCATCGTATTATTGCATTTGGCGTCGTCATCGTGCCGCTTTTTTTTCGTACGATCACGGACGCGTGTGTTGGCCAGAGCAAACAAGCGTCGTGGTGGTTGCAAAAAGCCTGGTATCATCACAAAACGGGAAATAATCTTTCTGTGACTGTATGCCCCCATGTTCTAATACAAGGCCTGCCTGCTAGAAGCATGCATACATCATACCTCCCGGCACCCCGGGTGTCCCTGGCAGGGCAGGAGGCAGTCCGTGCCGGGGTCGCCGGTCGGGCGGCAGTGCGGCATCAAGCAGCCAGAGCACTCCGAGAGCGAGAGCCGGCAGCTCGAGCAGAAAACACTCTGCAGGCAAGCAAGCAGGCAGGGAGGCAGGGGGCGTCAGGAACCCCGTTGGGTGCCATTTTTTTTCATAACTTGGTCGGTACAGAAGGATACGTCTTGCAATGAACCAGATCGAAAAAAAAACAACCAAACTGCTGTTGTTGTCTGTTGGGGATCCCGACGGTGGGGCTACTGCTGCTTAACAAGGGGCGGAAAGAAGGGCGAAAGGCGCCCAGCGGACGAGCGCAGCTTGCACGCCGGCGGGGCGGAACATTCTTGCGAACGTGGTGGGAAGAAAACGGTGGGGGAGATCCGTTGCCGTTCGTCCCTGTGTGTCCCCAAAGGCAGCCGAAAAACGCAATGAACATAGGAGGACGAGATAAAAAAACACCAGCCAGACGTAAGAGGAGACCTGCAGCGAGCAGCACAAAACGCGCACGACAAAAAGTTCGTCCCTACAATTCACAAAGACGGGACTCGACGGCGGTGCTGCCAGCGCTTTCTCAAGGGGAACACGTAAAACAAACTCGTTCACAACCACCGGAGTCGAGCCATGGGCCTGACGTCTTTTCATCTGCCAGCCGGAGGGCACGTCCGACGTCAATTAGAGAGAAATACAACCACAAACAACACACAGGTCGCCCACCAAAAAAACTGCGAGATGGGGAATATACTTATAGAAGTACTCCTTACTAAGGTTACAAATGAAGGATAGAGTTGTGTCAGCACGAAGTACATAGTTGTGCCATCACGACCTACTGCTCATGTGCGGTTGACATAACGACCAAACTGTCCACACGACCCCGAACCACAAACACAACGGCAGGCCCACCGCAAAATTACATACCTCGCAGCTCATGTTGGAGCAGCGCGTCGAGCACTCGGGCCCCGAGCACACGAGCCTGGCGCACGCGCAGCAGCACACCGCCTCCGCCGCGATCATCTCGTCCACCGAGACTCCGTCGCCGCCGCCGCCGCCGCTCTCGCCGATCGCGCTGAAGCTCACGGCCCTGGCGCAAGGGTCGCACAGCGGCAGCCTTCCCCCGCACCAGCTGCAAGCGTTCGACAGGTCGGGCGGGCCCAGGTAATCCCCCGCCGCCCCGCCGCAACCGGCGCACCGGATGGTACCCACCATCTCCGCCGCGGCGTCCATGCCGGAGGCCCCTTCCGCTAGGCCACTGCCGCCGCCGCCGCCGCCGGGGCCGGGGCCGCCGGGGCCGAGCGGCACGTGAGAATACGGACCCAACATCATTTGGTTATCCATCTGGGCTGCGGGGGCGGGGCGGAGCCTGCTGGGTGGTGGTATATCACAAGTAGCGATGTCGCTGAAGATGGATGGTCTCCAGGCTTGGTTTTTGCCTATATTGGGGCGCGAAGGGGTGGCAGAGGGTTTGAACGGCATTAATGGGTGGGTGGTGGGGGTATAGAGTCAGAGACACGAGGCGCGGTACGTACGCTATGTTCGATCAGCTGGCGCTTTTGGGTCGAAACCTCCGTAGGTTTGCTTGTGCGTGTGTTTCAGCATCAACAGAGCTAACCGGCAGAATAGTGAAAGTACATCGGTCTTAGTGCGGTTGAAAACTTTTGAAAACACAAGATGCGTGTATGCGTGGGTGCATGCGGTGTCGGGGGCACTTTTTTCTTTCCACGAGAGAGAGAGGGAAAATACCACACGAGGGAACCGATATCGACGCGTTCGCGGCGGGCGCGAGTGAGTGACGCCACAGAACAATTCCACGCCTTCTGAGTGACTGGTGCCGCTGACCAGGTTGCAGCTGTTGGCTGGCAGACAGGGGCGCGCGCGGGCGTGCCGATCCAGTGCCCAAAGGCACCCAGGAGAAAATCCTCCGCCTTCTTCTCCGAAGGGGATACGAGAGGTAGAGGTGGTGTGTGTTGACGGTTGTTGCTGTCCGTGACTCCCTCATCGTGCCCTACTAACTGCAACCGCAGACCCCAATCTTCAATTTAAATGCCCAATATTCAATTTAAATGCCCAATCTTCAATTTAAATGCCCAATATTCGATTTAAATGCCCAATATTCAATTTAAATGCCCATTAGTCAATTTAAATGCCCAATATTCAATTTAAATGCCCAATAGTCAATTTAAATGCCCAATCTTCAATTTAAATGCCCAATATTCAATTTTTTAAATGCCCAATCTTCAATTTAAATGCCCAATATTCAATTTAAATGCCCAATCTTCAATTTAAATGCCCAATATTCAATTTAAATGCCCATTAGTCAATTTAAATGCCCAATATTCAATTTAAATGCCCAATAGTCAATTTAAATGCCCAATCTTCAATTTAAATGCCCAATATTCAATTCAAATGCGGTGGCGATTTGCCAGTTTCCTCGACCCAGAGACCGAGCACTGCGCAAAGGCTCTCCTTGACATAAAATACGACGGGGATGCATCTATCTGAAAAACGAGAAAATTTGACCGAACGACACAACGACACCTCTGGCATATTAATCGCCCCTTGACTAATAGTAGGCTCGAGCTTTTTCCCCTAGAAGAGAACATGCGTTCAGGGATCACCTTCACCTTCAACCCCTTGCTTCTCTTCTACATACCAAGATTGTAGATTCCAAGGCTCGCTTCGGCGCACTGTATACGTTTCGACGTTGGCGAGACGCTCACCGCGGTATCCACCCATCAAGGTAACGCACGGTAAGCTTTTCGCTTATCATTCCGTCTTCTTGTGCGGAAACAGCCACGCGCGGTGCGCAAGATATTTGTTGGGTGGCAGCTGGCCTTCACCGTATACATGTACTTTGAACGGGAACCTGCCACCACGGGTAGCGCACGGTAATTTTCCGATGGTAACTGGCCATCGCGGGGTTTAGTCATACGGGAACCAGCCACGACGATACTTAAGGTATCTTGAGACCTTGGTTTTCGCTGCTGTGTTGCATATTTCTTTCATGTTGCGACATGCGCACAAAAGGTGTTTCTAGACATCTGAGCAAGACGACATGGTTCTTGTAACTGCAGGCCTTGTCTACAGAACCACAGACGGCAGACTCCTTTCCGCCGAAATATGGCCTTGAGCAAACACAAAAAAATACGCTGAAAATATATACCAACCCCAACGAAAGCCAATGAACACCAGTAGCCAGCCCCGTGCTACTACAATATCCACCACGACTTGTTGGTCGACAAAATGGACTCCGTGAGAGATACCGCCACGCTCTTCTCTCTCTCTCTTCTCGACAGACCGCCGCCGAGGGAGAGAGGGGGAACACTAACACTCGACTTCCAAATCAGTACAGCAGTGGGGGTTCCCGAACAAGGCGGCCGCCCTGTGCAAAGCGGGCGAAGTTGGCTGTTTAGCGTAGACGGAATAATCAAGTTGATCTACGCATTGTAGGAGGCGGTCATTATCCGCTGCCCCACCACCGACATATTTCGGGGACCCTCACTCTATACCATCTCTTCATCTTTGTACAATAGCTGATACACTTCGTTTAAACCCTTGTGCGTACACAGAGGGAAGAGGGTGCTGCACTCTTCTCGTATTTAAAATCGAAGGCAAAGTGCCGCAGGAGGGTTGGGTGGGGGCCTCAGGGAGAGGAACCCTTCTGTGTGACCACGGGTTGGAGTGACCGGCACAAACAAGGGCTATTAGCGCTGAGTTGAAGTTCTCTCTGCCCAGTATCTTCTTCTGTCCGCACTAAAAAGTGAAGACATTAAATCCAAAAAATTCTCAGGTAACGGAGTCCCTAGTACCTGTTACTCCATTAATCCAGGGTCAGTGCACAGAGTTAGGCGTGTCCGCTGCTGCTGCCTCCTTCCACCACCTTCCACCCGTCTTCCCCACACAAACAATTACATAGATCAATGAAATCGCAACGGTTCATTGGTTTGCTATATTTCAAGCGAAACGCATTCGAACTTATCAGGGACCCTTATCTTATCTGTGGATATAGCAAATGAAGTCGTTCTGTGTTTGTATGAAAACAAACAATAAAACAAGAACAAAGAACGCGCGTCCGGTGGTGGCAAGAAACTCTGATTGTAAAACGACCGGGTTAAGCAGTCCCTTCCCGTGTACTGGCGTGTACACAGCAGGTACAGCAGTATTTACTCAAGAATTTCAAAGTGTTCACCTCCGAACGAGATTCAAGCCCACAATCGGCTACTATAATACAGCAGTAGGGTTACGACTGATGCAGCTCAAGGTATATCACTGTATATAGAGAAGACATGGGGGAAAGGTTGGGAGGTTTGGTACGTCAACCTAGGGAGACGACACCCCCCGTACAAGCAGCGTTCCCACTGCTGTAGATCTACTCACGCCTCACACTCCGCGCGTCCGTCGCCGCCGCTTCCACATACATGTTGGGACTCGCTGCACGTATCCTCTGGGACAATGGGAAAATGAATGCCCCGAAATTGGAACGATCTTCGCCCTCGGATCGATGGTTTCGAGAAGCGGGCTCTATCTATAGATATATACGTAGCCGAAGGCTGCTGAACGTGAAATCTCCGGCTTCTTTGAAAAAGGAGGGAGCGCTGCTGTGTATTGGAAGTACTACCGTAGATACGACACATGATAACTGGACCAATTTTCGAAGCTCGATTGCTCTACGACGACGAGGATGCATAAACAAAACCATATATTTTCGGAGAGCTCTCCACCAGACGGCTCCAACGCCACCGTTTTTGTCGGCGCCGTTGCCTCTTCCTGCTGTTGATAAATCGAGCTTTGAAAATCGGCTCAAGGGGGTGTGTCTTATCTTGTGTCGTACACGGGTACACACGAACGATCCATGTGGTAAATATCGAAGCACGCTTGTCGTTTCAGGGATTCGCGACACCAATATATAGGAGCTTCCTGCTGCAGTCTTGGGTATCGATGATTTCTACTCTTTTCCTGTGTGTTGCGCGTAAGAATGTCACGAGCCAGCAACATCGGGCTACTACCCAGCAGCGGGAAGCCAGTTTAATCAAAAAGGTGCCGTACAGCAGTAGTATGCCGGAACATGGAAGCGACTCCTTAAAAAGTAGCATGTTAGTCATGGACAAAGTTCTCTCCTGCGCCGTGAAAGACACAAAAAGCGCACAATGCACACGTTCCAGCAGCATGATCTCCGACAACACGTCTGTCGCGCCAAGCGCCCTACATGCCCCTCTTGGGGAGATGGATATCCCACCGCAATCCTATGTACAATCAGAGACGGAAAGCGCCGGCCGAAAGGGCCGCGTACCCCGCCCACGTTTTCACATCAATAATACGAGTGTAGTGCGTTCGTTCGCTCTCTGCGCAGGAGTTGAAGCGCGTATAAAACTCACCCGTCCTCCGTTCCTCTATGCCTATCTCCTTCCCGCTCTCTGTGTTTCTCTCTCCCGCTGGTTGCGGCGCGTCGCTTTTGTCGCGAAGCTCAAGCTGTCCGCGCTGTCCGGCCAAGGCCAAGCGTATTGGGGGTACTGCAAATAGTAATATTTTCTGTTGATATACATATACCCCGCATATCTCCGGTGGCGGCCCCCCAGCGGGAGTCCCAAAGGAAGAACAGCCCAACCAGCGGAGGACACGACCGCACGACTCGAAATGGATGCCGGCCTTGGTGGGCGCGGGGGAAGCTCCAACATGTGGGTCACCAATACCTTGTCGTGAAGTCTAGATAGCTGCTCTCGGGAACCAAAACTGCCTGGTATCGGCTTCTGTTTCGGCAGCGTAGTCGATCTTGGTGTGCGCCCCCCTCACCGAACACACACCCGTCCACAGGCTTGCTTACACCCCCCTTCGACCCCAACGCACGGCAGGGTTATGGGCACTGTGCGAAAGCAGCACATGAATATCGCCCTATGGTTTGGCTTCTTCACAGCCTCGTTTGTGGTCTTCTACCTATTCAGCGACGGCGATTTCTCCTTCCTCATGGTGAGCTACTGCTGTACGTAATAAATCTACTGAGTTATGCATACATTGCACACGTTGTTGCGCACCTCTCCGCCTTCCCAACGGGGTTGGGTATGCTATGTACACACGTTATGCACGGAGGCAGGTGGCAGCAGCAGCAGCAGCAGCAGCAGCAGCGACACCCCCGTTACAATTATGTTTGCGTCCAGGGTGACGAATCCCACCGAAATTCCTCGATCTCGGCGCTGCGGTCGTCGGGGAGATTCTCCCCTCCCTCCCTCCGTGTTAGGGAGTAGCACAATAACCTTCGACTACCCAAATTGTAACAGTTGCAGTAGCAGCGCTCAGAAGTGGGGGCCACGTTGGATATTGCTGTCTTGTAAGCAGATGGACATGCGCACAAAGACGGTACGTGCGCCACTGCTGTATCTTTTCTTGGCGTCTGCCACCGCACAGTAGTCGGTGACAACATCGACGAAACGATGCTCACAAGCACCGCTGCGGTTGGTTATTGTAGGCACTCGAGATGCTCCGCCCCTTGTATCATACGTACGAGTTGCTGCCTTTGGAGTCTCCACTGCGCCCACTTTTGTTGAAGCTTACGTCTACTGTACCTACCAACGCCCCCATGCCCCCCACCCCCTTGTCTTTCGTGCTTTCTTATCACCGCGAAAATCACCACCGCGGCAACTTGATGAAAATCAACCAACACATGCGCCACACCAGACGTTCGCCTCTTTCACGAGAGGCTTCGGGTTCGCCGTGCTGCTGGGGCTGATGCTTGCGAAGAAGCACGCGCGAGGGGTCTCCATGAAGAGCCTCCAGCTCTACGCCGTCGTGTTCGCTTCGCGGTTGGTGTCGGTGCTGCAGCACGAAGGGTACCTTCCCTACGACAGGAGCGGGTGAGTTGTCTCGGGAGAGCGCCTCAATGCGTGTCGACAAACCAGCACCCCCCCACGACAGCGGCAGGTACCGACGGACCGCCTTTCAAACCTCATGTATAGCACCTCGTGGCAAGATGCCGGCATTTGCGGTGACTCGCCTTTCATGTTTTTGCCTGCGAGGGCGCATGGCTAATAGCAAATGGCGGCCGCGCAAGGCAACACATTCATCTGCTCTTGCCCCCCCCTTCCTGTCCGTGAACAGCGACTTCGTTTACCACGGGGCCGAGATCGCCTCGCTGGCGCTGGCGGTGGGCTGCGTGGTGCTGATATCGACCAAGTTCAAGTCGACCTACCAGCAGGACGTGGACTCGTTCGGTGCGCTGCACGTGCCGACGGAATGGGGCACGCTCTACATCTTTGTCCCTTGCCTGCTGCTGGCGATTGTGAGTCTCTCGCTCGACGACTCGACTTACGCAATGTCGAACGCGTGGAATTGTTATGCTTTTTTTGTTCCAACCTCCATGGTATTCTCTCTCTCTCTCTCTCTCTCTCTCTCTCTCTCTCTCTCTCTCTCTCTCTCCCTCTCTCTCTGTCCTATCTGTCCGCCTGTCTCTGTCTCTGCCTTCTCTAGCTATGTTAGTCGGCTCTCCTTCTCTCTTGATTCAGTAGAAATTTTGAACAGCTGAATACACAAGTCCCTGCCCGTGTTTCTTTGTAACGGAGTGTGTTGTTTCCGTCCTGCCGCGGCATCTACGGTCTTGTAGGCGTTACTACTCGAAATGTCCTCTCTCATCGATCCGCGGGCGGGCGCACCGCACGCTCAAGAAGGCTTTGGACACGTCGTTTCAATGATAATTGCAGCATATGTGGGGAGCACCCGCGAGCGTGACAATGCCCTACAACTCCAAGTGTGCTACCTACCGCGGTGTTTTCTTCGTGTTTCGTTTTCCATGACGCTCGAGCCCTGTTTGTTCTATCGATGTGACCTTCGATCGATTGATTGATGTTCCTTATTTTCTTCCTACGGCGTGGCGGGGGAGTGCAGGTGATGCACCCGAACCTGAACAAGAACTTCCTGTCGGACACGGCATGGACGTTCTCCATGTACCTGGAGAGCATGGCGATTGTTCCTCAGCTGTTCATGTTCCAGAAGCAGGCGAAGGGAATCGTCGAGGTGTTGGTGAGTGTTCGTCCTTGCGATGCTGTGTTGTTGTTGATCCTGGTGCTGTGGCCGGTGCTCGCGTTGCTGCCCTGCGGTCGTCCAGGTGTTGGTGAGTTTGCTTGCGGGACGCACCACCATCAAAGGTCGTGGCAAAGTTCAGAGTTGAAAGCTTGTGACTGTACGTATTTGGTGTCTCAATTTAGGGACTGGGCCACGAATTATGTACTTGACTTCTGCTGTAGCTTTATCCTGAACTCATGTTTTGGTGTCTCGTGGTATACAGTAGCTGTTGCCATAGTCATGAGATCCTGCCTGTAGTAGCGTCCCCCTGCACCAAGAATAGGCATTAGGCGAATTTTTCTGTTGCCAAGACACTATTGGTGTTGTCAAGCCCCGGGCAACCTTTTCCCCGTTCTTTGCCCATCTTGTCGATACTTGGCTGTTTGCCACGGGGGGATAGTGCTTCGCAAAACACTTGATCCCTGCATGTCTCTTGCCGAAACGATTGCACCCGGACGGGTATAAAACTCTGCGCGCAGGTCACGCACTCGACTTTCGCCTTGGGCTTGGCGAGGGTGCTAGACATGGTTTTCTGGATGTTCAGCTACAAGGAGCTGACCCACGCGGGCTCGAACTCGGTGGGCATGTTCGTGCTGTTCTCGCAGTTCGTGCACGTCGTCATCATGGGGGACTTCTTCTACTACTACGCTATCAGGTCTGGTAAATTGTGTTGCTTGTTTTTTTGTTTTGCTGTTGTTTTTGGGTTTGCCGAGGATACATTTTTTTCCCGCTATGATAGCAAGTACAGAGCGCATGGTCTGAAAGCAAATGTTTCTGCTCGAGCTCGCATGAAACGAACTTCAGCAGTTTTACGTGACACCCTTTTTGTTGCGGCAAGTAAGGAGCAGGGCGTCAAAAGTGTAGAGTTGCAGCGTAACGGGGCGCTCGACGTCAAGCACTAGACATGCGACCACGAAGAAGTAAGCACTCGAGCGTATCTTTGTGTTCTTGTTTGACGGCCCTACAGCTCTTGCCAAACAGCTCTCGTCCGCCGCACGTTTGGGTGTTGTGCTTTTTTTTTGTGGGTTCTATCTTAAAAGAGCACCAGTCGGACCGCTGGAGACAGGCGGGGAGAATAAGTAAGGTTGTTGACTCTCTTGGCACACGGAATTGTGTATTTGAGGAGTTCACACATTGAACACAACTCTAAATAGCAATCAGGTCGGGAGTTAGCCAAACAGACTTTGTTGCTTCCACGCGATCGGATCGGTCAGCGAAAGACAGGCACAACAAAAGAGATGTGAAACATCAGTTCAGGTTATTGTGGCTTTCACGGAAACACTGTAAACTTCTTTTGGAGAGCGCTCCTGTGGTCAACGCCCCCTCTCTCATTTATCTCTCCTGTTTCACTCCCTTGCCCTGTCTCGCCCGCCGACTTGACACCGAAAATGGACTCGCGACACGGTGAACCGACAGCGTGAAGACAGGGAACATGATGCAGCTGCCATCTCAGCTGTCGGGCATGGTCTGATTTGCTCGAGGTTTCGGTCCATCCTCGACGCGAAGACGCCACTATGTGATGGTGGTGGTGGCGGGGAATCGCTCTTTTCGACCTAAATCTCCGTCGACGCATGTGGTGGTTTCGCGGCCGAAGATAGACAGGGGGATTCGGCCGAACATTAACATGACCACCGACCGAAAAGGCTTGTTTCGTGTGTGCGCCGCTGCGGAGCAGAGGGAGGGAGATAACACTATTTCGGAGGAGGGAGGCAACCTCTTTCGGCCGGCAGGACGAGCGATAGAAATGAGGGGACCGGTGACTGTACCAGGAATTTTTGTTGTCCCAGCGAGATCACAGGCTCTTTTTTCGGTCTATGGCGCTCTCTTATGTACTACTGTAGCTGCGAAACCAAAAACACGATTGGGACGGAGGGGCGCGACTTGTCTTTTTCGGAAGTACTAAAAGTGAGGTACGCAGATATTTTTTTGAAGAGAACGCCGCAGCGAAATGGCAGTTTTGTTTTCGCACGCATGGGTATGGATGTGGACGAGTGGATGTGTTGACGTGCTTGACCGCCGCTTGGTACCGAAGCGTGTATGGATTATGTACCATTTTGTGCTGAATTTCTTTCGTCGTGTTTGGGAGGGGCGGGGGGAACATGCAGTCTCGTGAGCAAGAGATAGTCTACTCGTGGGCAATGCAATGCCCTTCGGGTGGCCTCAAAACAGAACTCGATTGGATTGGATTGGACTGGTGAGCATTGGATGCTGACCGCCCCCCCCCGCCAACGCCGAGCATACCACGGGCGTTGGAGCTCGAGTCCAATCCTAATCTGGTCGTCAATCGCCGGATGGGGTTATCCGTCTCGGCTTTGTGAGGGTACGAGGCCATTAGTCGGATTACAAGCGTGTCGATCTTTTGGGACCCCCCCCCACGTTGGTCCAACAACTTGAGGCATGCAAAACATGGGTAAGACGACCGGCCTCGCTCTTCTTGCGTATGATTGGTTTTGGATCTAAAGTCGTGCGTGTGTGTCAGTAGGACGAGCCATTCTTCGAGACATGGTTTCGTGGTAGGTTGGGCGTGACGAGACCTTCCCCGGCAGAGACTCTCGTTGTGTTTTTTGTTTTTGTTATTGTTCTGGGAGGAGGCGATGTTGGGTACGTGATCGTTGGTGCTGTTGAAACTTGTTCTGGTACTTCATTTCGTGTGTTCAAATTATGTCGTCGTCGCGTTAGAAATTGTTGATTTTGGCACTGCTGTCCTGCCCGGCGTTGTGATGCGAGCTCCTCTGCTGTGTCTGTTATCTATTTTTTTCCGTCTTGCTGCACGTCTCGTGGATTTGTGTAGTCTAGACTAATGAGCCGGGTCCTATCCTCGCCTTGGAGCAGGGGCGTATTATGTTGACGCCTGCCCACAGCAGTAGTTTGCAGCGTTGCCGTGCGAAATGTCGCTGCGCATGTATGTGACATCATCCGCAGCCCCAGAAAACGATCTCTATACTGCTTGGTGCGGGCGCAGTCGGAGGCAGCGCAGGAAGAAGATAACACGTTGCGTGAACGTAGAAAGTTTGCAATACATGGCGACAGGTGCACTTCTTCGCTTTTCAAAGAGAATCACGCAGTAAGGAGATGGCTTTTTGCGGGGTCGTGAGAAGCCTGCAATGTACACCGCAGTACACAGCAGCTGGTGCAGTACTTCTTCTCTTTTCAAAAGAATTCGCGCACGAAGAAGATAACATGTTGCGCGGATTTGAAGAGTCTGAATGCACAGCAACCTTGGGTTGCGCTTCTTCTCCTTAAAAGAATTACGTACCAATGCTGTCGTCACCCTACGCGAGTTGTCGTACGAGCATGGCGGGGGAGGGCGGAGTGAAGCGAGAGGTCATCCCAGGTGTGCCACACCGACACAGGTGAGGCAGTTTTTCTTTCTGGTGGGGCTTGGTGGAAACTCCGAGTTGCCTTGCCAAGAGTGAGGCGAGTACAGCTGTAGTTGGTGATGGAAAGCAACGTAGAGTTGGGGAAATAATAGAGTACCCATTTCATGCAAGATGAACCAGCAGCGTCCACCGTGTACAAGACATCTGGCGTAGTCTATAGCCTATAATGAAGGTGACACCGATGGTACACAAGACAACCATGATTCAACCTCGAGGACTCATTGCATCCATATGCACAAGTATTCACCGTCTCGACAAATCAGTTGCCATCGCACAACAGGCTGCTTTCAACCACACGCTCTCTGATCGTGGATCGAACAAGATCCTGTCGTGAACGAAGCCAGAAGATGCAACAAGTTGCCTGTTCGGGGCTCCGCGATTTCATCCGGGACTGTCATTTTTGACCACTGCACCGATCTCTTCGCTGGCCGGGGCGAGGGGGAGAGAGCACTCTGTGTGCGACGTCTACTCTGCGCTCTGTGCCTCTGTGGCTGTCTCTTTCGTTTAAGGTGAGACAGCGATGCAGTGGAGAAGTGGTGCTCGTGAAAACTAGGACGTAATACTACTGCGTGCGAGCACGCTGGCCGGGGAGCAACACTCTTTTCTAAAAGGCAGCGAGAGACAAAGAGATGATGGTCCTCACGGTTGCCTTGCCGCCTACACGAACAACTCACACACGCCCTCGAGTGAAAGAGCGAGGATATGCAAAGCCAGGAGTGCTCCATACACCCCCATATGTTTCTTTCCCATGCTCAGTGCTCCCTTTCGGCATAGCGTCAAGTAGAGTACGGTAGCGCAACTGCTGTGAATACCTGATGCAAGGCCTGGCGGTACCGGGCCAACTTCGATGGTGTACAAATACAGGGTTCAGATTTCATGAGGAACCTCGCATGGCAAGGAGTTGTCGCGGAGGATATATCTTACTGTCGTCCGTTGCCTACGCTTGGCGGTTGGCACATATGGCCTGGTTGCTTGGCTTGTTCCAATCTAGACCGTCTAGCAACGACTGGCAGCATCTCCCGGTGCCCCATCTCTTGTCGATTTCATTGGAAGGCACCGCGCAGCAGAGGCAAACGTCGTGTGTGTGGGATGTCTAAATAGAGACTGTGTCGTTGTCTCGCTTCATTGGCATTGATCAGCAAATCGGCTAACTTTAATGAATAGCTCGTGAGTGGGCCCCAGGAATCGGAGAGAATCAGTGGTCCCAAGTTCCAAGATACGTACGATATGGGTTCTCAATTCAGGCTGATACACCGTCTTGAGCATTCGCATGTACCGTGACAAAACATGCACTCGACGACGAGAATGTGTAGGGACTGCCCGAAATCGAGGGAGGGAAATCGTACTCCACGGGATAGAGTCATCTGAACACCGTGAGGCGGCGATGGCAAGACTACCAGAGTTAGCTGCCGCGAGAGTCGCACGTGGCATATTGGTGTGCATCCTCCATTGCCGATTTTCACCCCACGACGGGTGTTTGCGTGTTACCTACCCCTTTATTACATCGTTTTCTGTCTCCCCTTGTTGTCGCCCGTGCCTACCCTATTCCCCATCCCTCGCCCCGGAAACAATTCAGCACGACACTAGTGTCAGCACAACACTAGTGTACGTTCGAGTCGGGAACTTGGGGCGTCAGGGAGAAAAAAAGCGGCAGTGGAAGAGCGTCAGGGTCCTGCGACGAAACGACCGCGCTTTTTTGAACGGCGGTGTTGCAGCACAGCCACAGCAAGTATTGTAAGCAGGGTGCGTTACGTTTCGTAGACCAACCATGAGCCTCGACGGCGGTAACGGCGTCGTTGAAGCACTCGCGGGTGATGGCGGTGGCCATCCAAGGCGTGCGGCGTCAGGGACATCGCTTGCGACGAGCGAAGCGTGCTCCATGTGCGGGAGCAGGAAACTCTACACACCCGGTTCGGTGTGCGCGGACTGCGAGGTACCACAGTTTTTATATGCATACCTTGTGTTTTGTTTTCGCCGCCGGTGCTCCGTATTTGTCGAGAGAGAATCGCGCACTTTGTTCCGTCCATCCCGAACACCATTCCGCGCGGAATACCCATGGTACAGAAACGTGGTTTTGCGCCCGCCGGCTCAAGAGTAGCAGACGGACGCGCTTCCCGCGGGAAAGCTCCTGCGTACGTGGACTGTTCCTACAATTCTCGTCCGTGAATGCCCCTTGAGCCATCATTCGCTGTATCTCCTACTTTGGATTTAGTAGACAGCCGTAGAACAGCTCCCCCTCTGAAAAAATCACGCCTCGAATCCAGGAGAAACACTGGGGGTGATCGTTACAAAATGACGGAACGCCACCAAGCCTTTGTTGTACACTCACCACAAAGTTTTCATGTTCTGCTCAGGTAGGCGGTGCTCAATCATGGTCTCACACGCAAAGGACGAGTTGATTGATCAACAGGCTCCGGCATGTGGAAGGGTTTGTTGCTAGGGGGCGGGTCGCAGTGCTTCCAATAATTGCTAGATATTCCTCTTACAATGTTTTATTTCCTACTAGGTAATACAAGTATATTTTCTCGCTTGGCTTAGTGCGATGCCCTGCTTTGTTGTGCAGGCAACGACCAAAAGCTTGCACTTTGCCCCCCCTGATGGTGACCCCCGCCGCCCGTCCCTTTCTTTCGTAGACCTATGCCTGCTACAAGTGTGAGGGACCTCTCCCGGAGTGCTCGAGCTGCTTGATGCCGTTCTGCGAGGGGACGGGTGACCCGGAGACCGACTGTCTCTTGCCCTGTCAGGGGCAGCCGGGTTGTGGCGAGGTGGGTGGGAGAGAATGACAAGAGAGAGAATGAGAGAGAAAGAAAGTGAGAGAGAGAGAGAGAGAGAGAGAGAGAGAGAAAGAGCTGGTGGACCTGCTGCTGTTGTCGCTGTTGTCCTCATACGGATAGCCGTTACAGACCCTTCACAACAAGCGCGACACCCGGGTGCTGGTCCCAGATGTCGGCGGGAACACAGTTTTCCTCAGTCGTGGGGCAGCACAACCGCTCAGGCGTGTGCGAAAAGTACATATGCAATGCGCCCGGCAAGCAGTGTTGTGCCCCTGCCCCTGAGGCTCGGCAAGCTAAACTGCTTTTGAGTCCCCACTGCTGTTGTCGTCGGCTCCTCTTTGAGGGGGGGTGCAGGCTACGTGCGCGCGTGTACGCGTCCGTCCCGGATGCTCTATCTGGGAAGGAGGGGGGGGGGGGGCGTACTCTTATGCTTTGCATGCCTTAGCGGTTAGACCATTGACCACGCGTCCTCGAGAGGACGGAGCATTGTTCCCACAGGACCGATCACCGATGGCCAATCGTTCCTTCCTACTTTGCCAAAGGTGGCTCAAAAATGTCTTCCCTAGTCTGTCTATCCTACCGATGTCACTTCCCGCCTTTTCAAACCACTTCCTACTCCCCAGTACCGCTACCGTCCTCTCCTCTCTATTCCATGCCTCAAACATCTCCCTGTACGTCCCTTGTATTCTTCCCAGCTCAGTCATGTACACTTCCCTCTCCTTTTCGTACCACGGACATTCCGCGACTACATGAACACTGTCTTCGCATTCGAAGCCGCAATCGCATTTGAACTTGTCGTCTTCGTCGTCTACCGTCCTATGTCTTCGTCGACGTTCGCGAAGGCCTATGTCCCCGGTCCTGAATTTGACCTTAAGCTTTGTCCCTGCATCCATTGGTCCATGTAGGTAATCCTTGAACCCTATTCCTTCTTTCAACATTCCGTACACTTCTAGACCCTCCTTATCCTTGGGTTCTTTCCTTAGATTCTGTTCTTCTCTGTCGGCACAAGCAACAGATATCTTCTTCTTGAACCCCTGTAGACCCTCCGTTTCCAGCGTTTCATCTTCGTCGATGTCCAATCCCTTCCATACGTTCTCTACAACCTTGACCCATTCCGTGGGTTGTCTACCCCTCTTTTTGTTTGCCCACTTCGCCTCCCATACTTTTCTC